CCATTCTGTGATTCTATGAAAACATCTGTGTGATATTTGATAATGCCAATTTGACAAATGGATTCTTTATTACATAAATGCCCATGATTGCATGCAGATATCATATAATCACATGCAAAGGTACAGGCTATGCCACAGACAAAATTTACACTGGAACAAATGGTGTAGCTAAAGTAGGCTGTGGAGTGATACTGAGACAGATCAGCCATATGAAGATACAATCTGGGATAGATCAGCCAATTCCCTGTCAAGCTAAACATCCAACCCTGCTAGGTGTCTGACAATATGAAAAAACAGTAACAGCAAACAGCTTACATACACAGGCAACCAAGTCACCAGGTATGCTCCTGGGACAGCCCCATAAACTTGCTCCATCCTATTAGAATTTCATAGGTCTGCAATAGCTATCTGAGATACAAAGAAGCATCCATTCTTTTGAATTTCCATATAGTCACAATCTAAATATTTGCATTAAAAGAAGTTAAAAGAACAAAACAGTTTGCCTCCAGACTGCTGTTTTTTTTTTCATCCTTCAGTTTCAGCAATGCTTTCCTTTAATAGTTCCATCATACTCATAAAATTCATGCTGTCAGTAACACTGCCTCTGTATTTCACTACGTAAATACATATTTGAAGACTTTAAAATACATTTTGATTCAGACATTAAGAAAAATAAAAGTCCATCACTATTAAATTTAGAGTCTGCACCCATCTTGCAAATCAATACAGCACATTTTAACAAAAAATGCTATCAAATTATGTCCAAAATATTAAGTGATTAAACCACAATCCCTTAAATTAGTTGATTAAATTTCATTCTAAAGAAAATAATTGTGCTATCTAAATGGAAGTTGCTTTTCCACTATTGTGTCATGCAAATTCACAGTACAATAATCAGTTTGAGCTATAAAGAAAACGACAGAAAGGATCTCAATATTTACAAGGATTTACAATAATTAGCACGCTGAACACACATCATTTATGTGTTATCTGGTATACATTTTCTTTTACTGAAGTATCATTATGAAATACAGCTTCAATTTGAGAAATTCACAGCAGTATCTTGCATGTCTAAAATTTCTAGAGTAGCGCAATATTCTAGAATGCTGGATAGATTTTTATCATTTTCATCACTCTACACACTGAAACATTTGCTAATTTATTTGGAGCTTTCATGCATAATTACTAGAAAACAAATATGTTCTGTTATTTTGTTATTCTGTCATCAGGAAGGAAAAGCCATCTAATGAACATTCTGAAAAATATAAGTAATTGCAAGTAGTGGATTACTGAAATACAAATAGTGCCTAGAGCACCATTTAAATGATTTTAATAATTCCCTACTTCTACTTAGGATAAGATTGGGAACACGAGCCTGATTTCAAGCTTTTCCTATGCTACAGATGACTTCCGGCATGTGAGATTTTCCAAGGATGTGACAATGTGAAAACTGTAACGCTGTTGAGAAAGCAACGTTCATTTTTAAAGCTGCACATATACTGCAAACCTGTATTTGTACTTTGATAAGCCTATGTTATTATTATTTTTTTTTTTTCCAAGCTGGGAGAGGAGTGCTGTTATGTACTGGTGCAAGGCACCAGTTTTCTGCTGCTGCTCGATTATCTCAAGAAGTCACCGTAACACACTTAACTTCTGCATCAGCAAAGGACCCTCGGCTCCTGCAAGGTTTACGTCTGTTCTCTGAGCATGTATGGAATATCTAATAAATGTCATACTCCCTCAGCGAGCTGCCTTCCCCTCTGCCTTGGTGGGCTTTCGTTGTTTGATTTCAAGTCAAGGGCTCTGCAACTAGTAAACAGCATGTTTACAAAAACAGAGCATTACATAGTGGGCCTGATCTAGCCGTTATTAAATCAGCAGACACCAAATCGAATTCCACTGTCTATTATACCCCACAAAAAAAATGCACACCAGAAATACTTGCATTACAAATATTACAGGACGTGACTTTGCCTGATAGCAAAATTTCTATTTATAGCAACAGGGGAAATTAGAGCCATATCCATAAAATATGACCTCAACATAAAAGACAAAATCAGTCAGTGATTTTTCCTGGCAATAGTGATGAGATTTTCAGTGCTGTTAACTTTTTGCCTTATAAACTTATCCCTTCAACTTTCTCTTAAAAATATAAATGCCATTTGGAAGCTTGAAACTGAAATGTTTTTCTTACCAAATGCTATTTTCCTTCATCACACGCTCAGAATGAATGGTTCTTCAACATTCAGCTGCTAAAGTTCATATCAGATTTTACTCTGTCCACCTTGAAAAAGTCTCTTTTTCATGCTAAGATGTAAAGGGAAATGAAGATGCTAAACCACAGATACAGGTGCAGTCAGAATGATTTCTCTACCCATGCAGGCTTCTTGTGCTCCTTTTAATGGACTTCTTGAGAAAATGAGACAAAGAAGAAATTATGTGGATGCATAAAGAGCAGAGTATACCACAGGGAAAAATGCTGGTAGAATAATGAGTTTGGATCTTAGTGCAGTTGTACTGTGAATATTTTGTCATGCCTGTCTTTAGCAACATCTCAGTCAACAACCGAACACAGGTCTGAGCAAGCTGCTTCATCAGACAGCGTGTCGCTGGGGAATGCCACCAGTTCTTGAAAGTAAATCTTTTTGTTCTGGGTGATTTACAAGTACTTACATACAGCTTCAGATTACTTTTTACATGTAAAAAAATATTTGGAATATTTTGGCTTGCTGAGAGTAAAATACAACAGGTGAGCTAACATTGACCTACCGTGGGTAAAGGAAGACTTAGAAAATTTTCTTGTTTAATTGGCAACGGTGCTTAGTGAAAATATTTAAATTGCATTAGAACTACTTCAAACCCTTGCACTATTCCTCTGAGGAAGTTTTGGGCTCATTACAACTACAGCTAGTTTTAAGAGGGCAGCTGACCCTTGGATAATCCCTCATTTTTGCTTCTTGTGTTGCCTTCCCTGCAGATTTGCCCTCTGCTTTATGTTTTCCATGAAACATCAATGACAACTGCACCATGCAGAACTCTGGGGTTTTATGTATACAAAACACATTTTAGAGGCATTTAGTACTGCACGTGTTTTATTGAAGAATGTATGAATAAAACAGCCTGGCTAATTAAGCTGCTCTAGAAATAGTAATCAATTGATGTTTTAGGTGTCAAAGCAGAATACGATTATAAAATGTACTTCAGAAGAACCCTTAAATTGATGTTATTTTAAATATATATTTTTAAACCAAGCTCTGAAGCACTTTGGAAGCTATTTTTTAAATGTCTTCCGAGTACCACCATACCTATTTTGTAATAGGAAGGGATAACAGATTTCAAGCACTGTTTATGGAAGGGGATTTAAGAATAAATGCATTGTACAAAACACCAAGGCATTCACTGTCAGCCAAACACTGCAGGAGAATGTTATCCAACACAATATTGACACATGCTTACTGTTACATCCTAATTAAATGTACATGTAAGCAAGCAGGAAAGAAATATTTTAAAGTAGCCATCACCAAGTCTCTAATAAAACTCTATCACAAAGACATTCTATGATACAAAAATAATAATTATCTTTAGAATAAGAAGTGTGGTACAACAGTTACACTTGCTCACTATACAAATACTCAGTCCAGTGGTGACAGACTGCGATTCAAGTCATTGCCTAACCTTACACAGTTCCATAAATGCATGTTTATTACATTAACACACTATAAATAATAGGTTTCTACTGCAGTTACTTGAAAGCATGTTACCAAAACCAGGACACTGCCCAAGAAATGGCTTGGTTGTACATATTTTGTCATAATACTACAGGAGCAAAGATGATGCTTTTCTCCTCTTGGTACTGTATAGATGAGTGTAAGCTGATAATCTCCAAAATACACAACACGCTGCACAGCTATTGTAACCTCTACCTTGTTACATGGACTATTGTATGTATGCTAAGTATGAACAGTATGCATAGTTGCACAGTAATAACTAACCACATTGGGTTTTTTACACTATCCTTAAGTTATGTGCAGCTAACATTCAGGCCAGCAATTTAAGAATCCACAAACTTAAGTTCAGATGCTGTTATTCAGGTATTGCTCATATATTTAAAGTACACCAGCAGAAACAGGCTATCACTAACTCACATCAGTTGTAGAATACATAGATTTATCAAAATATTAATTGTACTTAATATTCTTTATTACTTTTGAGGGCAAGTGTATAAAAGCACATTAAAAAAATAGCTGGTATTGAATAAAGCCCATTTAAAGCAATAGAAAATTAGTCCGAACCAACTTGTGCTATTTGCTCTGACAGTGTCTGAAGTTACAAGGAGAGAAAAATGCATTTGAATAATAGTGATGCCCAGAATAGATTACATTTTTTCTGATACCTTGAGGACTGTTTCATATTTATGAGCTCTTACCAAAAGGTGTATACCTATGAGAAAAACTGTACCTTTTGAAAATGAAGGAAATTAGCAGCTAACTCGTAATATTTTAGAGATTCTTGAGAGCTTCCAGTAACAGTGACCACGAGAAAAGCTCCACCACTGTACTGAAATGTACCAACTTACATTGCATTTTCACACTCGGTGTACGTTTTTCGTCAAGAACCTATGAATGTATTAGAAAAAGTGCATTAATTATCGGTGGTGTTTGAAAGGTTCTTGTTAACCTTTTGATAAGCCACCAGAATTACTTATTAGATGATGCATTTTTCAAGTTTTTCTCTGCATGCTTCATATATTTACATGACAAAGCATTCCCAAGCAAGTAATAAGCATGAGAAATAATACAATTCTTGAATGTACTTGCTAGAAGTTTAAAGATAAATGTAAGCTCCATCAAGTTACTCAATGTAATCACTAAAGGACTGCATTGAGAGTTTTAAATGAAACAGTAAGCACTTAATTTACCAAGTGCTGCACTGATTTACAAGTCTGAAGCTCACCGACTGAGCTGCATCCAATTTCAATCAGAATCTGCAAGTATGTCTTTTATAAAAAAACAATTCCATTCAGGTACAATTTTCTTTAGCTTACCAACTCCACATTTTAATCTGAATGTTTTTCAATATGGTAGAGAAAACCTAATGTAAATTCAGCTTCTACCTTCCCAGCTAGACAGACCCTCGCATCCGTCCTGACATTTTGCAGTTGTCTCAAGAGAGCAGATCAGGGATTTTTGTGCCAAGTGGAACCACTCTCGTCGTAATCAGTGTAATTCTTAAAGTGTACATCACAGAACCATTATCAACATTTATATCTCGAAGCTACACACGTACAAGATTTTATTCGGAGTACTGCCGAGGGCTATTACTCCAGAGCCCACAAAGTTATTAACATTCTTAGATGTCCATTCATTTCTCATTAAACAGGAAACTTCCACACAAGTTCTTGCAAGACTGTTTATTGAATTGAACAGTTCAAATGGAGTTTAGATGCAGTTTATGTATAGAAAAAAAAAATCCATTTTCAGGTAAACTGCAATCAAAAATTACAGTACAAAATAGTAAGTGATTCACTGAGACTGTAAGTGTCCTAACATGTTAAACTAAGAAGTATTTGTGCGTGCTCACTGTTTGATTTCCTTCTTTGTAACAGAGGACTTGTTAAAAGGAGTTTTTTTTGTTTTTCTAAATCCAAAGTTAAGTCTATGAAATGGAAACATTATCATCAGGATGCAGATATACAAGATTTAAAACTGGCACAGAGGATTTAACGTTTTTCTCAAAAAGTTGAGGCAGGTTTTGTTGAATAATTGTGTGTGTGTGGGTGGGGGGTGTGTGTGTATGTATCTGCTATAAACTCCGGTGGCTTTGTAGCACAGTATCCTTTTCTCTTTTGAGATCTTGAAAAAATTTCCCACCATGAGAACTGGTAAGGAAGAGGAGAAGTAGCAGCTTGTTTCTTGCGTGCAGTGCAACACCATGCGCAGCTGCCCGGCGTCTCAGAACAAAGGGAGGATGGCAATGAGCAACGCACAGAGGCATATCCCCTTCATGCTGTGAGCATGTCCGAGATTTCTCTGGGGAAAGGGAAGCGAGCACGAGGGCAAAGCATCAGTCTATATGTCATGCATAGCTATGGTGCACGGCCACTGCCGCGGCGCTGTCAGACGTCCGAGTTGGAGCTGAGGTTTGTTAACCTGGGGTCGGCGTTGATCTCATACCTGTAGTGATATCCCTCCATGTGATCCCTGCAGGCATCTCTGATGTTGTGCATCCACTTTTTGATCCCTTTTCGGTTCAAGTACAAAACCAGGAGGAAAATTGCCCCGATGAGAGCCAAGACTATCCCTAAGAAGACGTAGGAAGTCTGTAGCTGGGAGGGCACGTCCACGGGTGTGGAGCAGTTGAGCTCTGACGCGTTGAGTTTCAGCAGGGCTCTGCCCGCCATCTTCTCGGGGAAGGCGCAGCTCAGGGCCTCCTTGCCCTCCACCTGGTCGCTCTCCTTGAGCCAGGCCACCATGTCCTCGATGGCACAGTCGCACACCCAGGTGTTGCGGCTGAGGCTGATGCGCTGCAGGGCGGGCAGCCCGCGCCACTGGGCCAGGGTGCCATTCCGCAGCACTCCCAGCGAGTTGTCGCTGAGGTTGAGGCTCTGCAGACGAACCAGCCCCTGGAAGGAGACGTTCCGCAGCCCCACCAGCGAGTTGTTGCTGAGGTCTAGGTGCCGCAGAGCAGGCAGTGCGCCCAGCATGCCGGCGGGCAGCAACAGCAGCCCGTTGTCGGCCAGCTCCAGGCGACTGAGGTTGCGGAGGGCCCCAGCCTGCAGCAGGGCAGCCAGACCAAGAAGCGCGTCCTGCTTCCGCAGGGCCCCGCGCAGGGCCAGCTCCTCCAGCGGGCCGGCCTGCCCGAAGGCCAGAGGGCTGAGCTCCGCCAGCGGGTTGCCGCCGAGGTCCAGCTGCCGCAGGGCGGGCAGGGCGGCCAGGGCGCCGGCCTCCACGGCCCGCAGGTGGTTGCCGCTGAGGTTGAGGCTTCCCAGCTCGGCCAGGCGCGGGGCGGACAGCGCGCCGGCGGGCAGGCGGTCCAGGCGGTTGCCGGTGATGAAGAGGTTGCGCACGTAGGGCGGCAGGTCGGGCGGCACCTCCGTCAGGTTCTTGTTCACGCACTTCACCGTCTTGGCCGCCTCCGAACACTCGCAGGGGGCCGGGCAGGCAGCGGGCGGCTGCGCCGAGCCGCAGCCCAGAAGGGCGTGCAACAGCAGCCCCAGGCACAGCGCGCCGCGCCGCTCGGCCTCGCGCCCCGGCATCGCGCCCGCCCCGCGGGCAGGCGGCGCTTCGGCCCGGGACCAAACTTTCCCCGGCGAGCGCACGCGGCCGCGCTCCGCTTCCTGCAGAGAGAGCCTAGGCACGGGGGCAAAGCGAGAGGGCAGCGCGGCTCCGCGCCTCGCCCCCCGCCCGCCACACGTGGCCCCGCCGACTGAGTTCCTCCCCGGTCGCGGCGCGCGGAGCACAAAGAGGAGCGAAAGGCGCGAGCCGCCCGCCGCCTCCCGTCCCGGGCTGCCCGCTCTGCTCCGCGGAGTGCCGCCCGAGGAGCCGTCCCGCGGCCCCGTCCCGCAGCTCCGCCGCTCACCTCCAGCCGCCGCTCCCGCCCCGCGCCCGGAGCCAACTCCGCGCCGCCGCCGCTAACTCCGCGCCCACCTCCCCGCGCCTGGCCCTGCCTCCGCTGCCAGGAGAAACCAACCGCCGCCACGCCCGGGGGGAGCCGAGACCGCCGCCGTCCGCCCCGCCGCCTCCCGCGTCCCGCCCTCTGTACCCGCGTCCCGGTGCCGCTGCCGTCACGGGCCGGCCGTGCCCGGGAGCTCGGCGGGAGGGCTGGTCTCGCCCGGCGCTGCGCGGCCCTGCTCCCCCCGGCTGTGTTGGTGCGGCTGGAGGCTTACCTTGCCGCCGAGCAGGGTTGCTCCATGCGGGGCAGCCTCGCCTCTGTCGTCGACGGGGCGGCTGCGCGCTGCTCGGATCGGCTCCCGTCCGCTCTCCGAGAGGAGATGCGGTGGCGAAGCCCCCCGGCAGAGCCTTTCCAGCCTCGGACGATTATTTTTTTATTGTTTTCAGTGATTTGCCTTGCTGATGGCACTGCGCACAGCATGGAGTGTTAGAGCAGAGTGGGGAAGGGGAAGCTGGGCGTCTCTCTCAGTCCCATCCCGTCGAGGCAAAACATCCCAGAGGATGGGACAAAACGAGAATAAACCTACCGGGACCTCTAGAGGTCCTAAAACCAGCGAACCGGAGCAGCTCCTTGGCGGCTAAGTGCTGAGGTTTAAACTACGCTACGGTGAGGCAAAAACTTAAACGTCTGCTTTCATAGGTCGCTCCGAAAGTAATGCCTCCTATGTATTTCCATGAAAACTACAACAGATACAAAGAGCATAATAACACTTTTTGATAGAGCAAATTCTCAGCTACAAAACACTGTGTTTCAGTACAGTCACCTTCATGAGCCATGCATTTTCACCAGTGATGAACAAGAGCCTGCGTGCTGCACTCATAAACATCTGCACCGCTGCCCCAGGAGGTGACCCACTGTTTCCTGAAACATGCCACATGCTGCCTCACTGTGCTCACTCCGCTGTTTGGCCTCCAGAAATATTCAGTAAGTGTTGATCTGTGGCACAGCAACAAAATGTAAAGAGATATTGATGGGGACATTCAGCCTCTGCTGCCATACTACCAGCATCTGCCTCTGATGCTGTGGGCCAACTTAGTAAAATAGGAGCATGCTGAGTGATTCAGTCTGTGTAAATGCTGTAGTGTGGGAGAGTGACTTGCTTCGTGCAGGTTTGCCCCCGACCAGATGAGGCTGGCTACGACCCCTTCCAACCTAGCCTTGAATGCTTCCAGGGATGGGGCATCCACAGCCTCTCCGGGCAGCCTATGCCAGTGCTGCACTACCCTGAGTAAAGAATTTCTTCCTATCATGTAACCTCAAACTTTTTCTTTAAAACCATCCCCCCTTGTCTTATCACTGTCAAACTGCGTAAAAAGTCCATTTTCCTCTTGCTTGCAAGCTCCCTTCATGTACTGGAAGGCCACAGGTCTCCCTGGAACCTTCTCCAAACTAAGCAAACCAAACTCCCTCAGCTTGTCTGCATAGGAGAGGTGCTTCAGCCCTCTGACCATCTTCATTTCCTCTTCTGGACGCACTCCAACATCTCCACGTTCTTCCTGTGCTGGGGGCTCCAGGCTTGGACGCTGTACTCCATGTAGGGCCTTACAATTCAAATGTACCCTTACAATCAACTATAATCAATAGAATAATCAGCTGCAATACTGTTGTCTGTAGGGTTTCTCTCCCTGCCCAACATGAAGTACGAGCCTAGGGCAACAGACTAGGGTACTTTTTAGGAGGAGATTATAGAGAAAATAAAATTAAAATATGAAATGGCAGAAGTTACAGTAATATAAGTGAGATCTCAGGGCTGTGAGCACTTGCAGAGGTTTGGAAAGTTACTGCCTTGATGTAGAATTATGAAAGCAATGGCACTGTGTTGCAGGAGTGTTTGCTTTGTTAAAGAGAATCTGAGTTCCAGATCCAAATGGCTGTTGTAAGATAATGCTTAGAAAAGGATGTAGGTGAAGATAGCTCACATTTTGTAAGTGAAATACATGCTTTCCAAGTTTATTAGAATTCTTCAGAAGTGTTGAAGAAAGAAATAAAGTTGACCTGTTAGACAACGGTGAAATTCAGTGATCAGTAAGAGGGAGTTTCCAAAAGAAGAGAGGCTTATAAAATAGATAACTGACAATTCTAACAAAAAATCTGAAATCAAGCCTAGAAATCATACTGAGTGTACCCACGTCTGTGTTTTGTTTGTTTATTTGTTTGTTTGTTAAAATGTTTAGATAGAATGTCAATTTTAGTAGAATTAAGAACAAAAATACTGATCTTACTATGCTGACCAAAATTGTCCTCTTGGCACTTAGTGACTGTTTATATACATACGCATCTCTTGCCCTGTATGGATGGCTGGCTCCCTGTACAGGGAACTCCTTGTTCCGTATTTGGATGTGCTACAGTAGTTCAAATAATAAATGGCAAGTATTTTCCTATTAACCAGGACTGAATTGCACCAGCTAAGCTTGCAAGAAGAAAAAAACTCATTAATCTGTTGTGTTATCTTCCCATTTAAATAAAACAGCTTTTCTCAGATGTGCACTCCAAAATGGAAACACTGCTGTCTGATGAATAAGCTGTATTGGATGGTTTTCCTGGACACATTTGTAATCTGCTAGGAAAGAGAAAAAACAAGAAAAAATTATGTATTTTCAGGTCAGTTTGGGTTATTATTATTATTTTTAGGGGATAGGGGAATTTGCATTGGCCAACCCATAGAATGTCACCTCCTAGCTTTTGAATAAAATTTATGCAAAACTTAATTCTGAGTTAAAATACAATATTTAAAAAGAAATGATATTGGCTAGAGAACTCAAAGTAGATGACAATTTACCATTATTGCTGTGTCTGAAAGCATTCTGGGTTGCCTGAGAAGCTTCTGTGAAGGAGGCTTGGGGTTGTCCCCCAGTGGTTCTGGTGCTCCTGGCTATGGCTGGATATTGTGTCAGCCATCAGGAGTTATAAAGGAGACCTCTGACCTTCTTTCTGCAGTAATTTGCGGTTTGCTTTGTGTGACACTGATGAGAACTGCTTGCTTTTAAAAGTTACTACTCTCATATTTCATCTCACTCAGTCCAAAAATGCAATTCCTGACTGAAGGAACAGTTGTAGGGAGAACGTTATGACTGATGGGGAAATTTATGTTTCCTCTGTGAAGTGTTTCTACATTGCCTCAATACTGCATGAAGATACTTAGCACCTCATAGGAAGTGGCCTTGGAGGGGTATTTGTGATGCGCTGAAGACTGTACACCAAGTGAGCAATAGCACAGGGACCAGAACTCTTCTCTTTTACCAAAAATATCTTCCCACAAAAATGGAAGAACAAGCTGCGACTCCATCTGCTTCCTCACATGGAGTGATCCAGCAGGTCCTCCAAAGGACACCTTCTGTTTCCCGCAGGACTCGGCTACATCTGAAGAAACATCATCAGAAAACTTAGAGTGGTGCCATAAAAATACTTCAGCTACCAACTGCTACACTGAATTCTGGTGTGAATGCTTTATTCAGTATTCACATGCTCACACACATAAACATTTATGTTCTGTTTGTCTTCTTTTAGGTACACCTACGTTTTTTATGCAAGTTATTGATTTTTATATAAATTGAAACAATACAGAATTCAGTCTTCAAATACTTTTTTAATTGGCACTTTGATTCCAGACACAAAACCACCTTGCCCTAATGACCTGCTGACCTATTCTGGCTTTTGCTGTCTGTATGAGAAATGCAGGATAAATCTTGTGATTATCTATTCATCCATGTGGAAATCATTCAGCCATTAATTGCTATGTAAGATAAAGCCGTGTTCGTATTTTATTACATATTTTTATGCATTACTCCATCTTTAATCCCAGTAGTGGATTACTATTAGAGCCCTTTTCTCAAATAAGAAGGAATCTACGGAGACTTGCTGACAGTGAAGCTGGAGCTGGGGTCAGGCATACTCTAGGAAAAGCCTGGCAGGAGAGCTCACTAAGCTCCAGGTGCTGCTGCTTTGTGTGCATCCCTCTTCCTTTGCTCTGGCTCAGCATGTCTGATGTGAGGGATGTGAGCGGCTGTTTCCAAGTTCATCCAAATACAGCTGAGAATTCAACATGCTGGAACAGGTCAGGGTGAATTTTCAGTCCCGCTTTATTCTTGCTCAGGAATGCATGTCTTTTACTTTCAAGCTTCCTTTGATAGATTTCTATATGTATTTGAAAATGGTAATTTTTTTTTTTCACTATTTTCTTTTTTTCTTTCTTTTTTTTTTTTTTTACAATTTAAGGTTTTAACAATTTAAGGTCTAGGTGACCCAGACTAAGTTCCGTATAAATTCTATGTAGGTCAGACTAAACCATTACAGTTAGAACTCTTCTTTGTGCAAAATAAGCCTTCCTATCTTAGTTCTTTTCGTAAGACTGGAAGGACTGTCTTCTGTTTTCCTCTGGATCTCACTGCAGGACAGCTTGTACAGGCAGGCTTCACTGGGAATTTGGTGTACTGGTTATGTCTACTTGGGATGTCCTGTAAAGAGGCAGCAAACAAACAGTCTGGTTGCAGCTCTGGGAAATCGTCAGAGCATGTCAGTCTTAGTATGGCTTGGGTTCTAAGGGGTCTTAAAGATCATCTAGTTCCAGGTATCTGCTGGATTAGT